ATAGTTCTAAGTATATAGACTTTAGACGTAGAGTCTTAGAATTGGTTAGAACCTCTATGTACAATGGTTGGAGTCTCAGTACTTTATATAAAGTCATATTCAATACTATGTATCATCGCCCTTATATTTTACGTAAATACGGTTTTATTACTAGTGTGCATCTTCCACTTATGCATGAGGTGCGAAAAACATGGACTGATAACATGGAGTAGTTGGACTAGTGACAGCGCGGCATTTGTTGGCGCCAAAACTTGGTAGTTACCAGGGTCCTCGAACATATCATTTGCTTCTCATGCTACTAAGATCTATGGGTTCGCATATATTTCAACATATTCTATTTTATTTATCTTTTACACTTCCTTGGGAACTACTGATGAGGGGCACCAAGGAAGTCGCATGACCGGTATAGTTCTTAGCCCCGAAACCGGAATGCGAATAAATGTTTCATTCTGACGACATTATGTCAAGAATTTCTTTTATTAGGTTAATAGTTTCCCTTTCTTCTATGGAAGTACCGCTCGCAAGATTTGGGCGCCTCAAAATTTTGCTGACCGCCTGCAGAAAAGCGCGAATTTGCGGACCGCCTGCTTCCGGCAATTATCTGAGTCCTTGTTCTATCCTTTGAAGGAGTTGAGCCGACTCTTGTAGCCAGTTCAGCGCCACATCGTTTCTTTCTGTAACTAGTCCTTTGTATACCCTTATTGTTGTTGTCATGGTGTAAGTGTTGACAACTAACCCGTACAACTGTGCAAGTAAATCCCTATTGTTCAAGCGTAGCTGTCCCGTGCAAGCAAAGCAATGGAAACTGTCTCTGTCGCAATGATAGGTACCTTCTTAGTTCGGCCGATGCACCAGTTGTAATGAATATAGGAGACAAGATGATATTCAGAACTATAATTGTCTAATACCACTCGTCAGCCAAAACCACAAAGATTATCTGCCACGCGGGCCTTGAGCGGTTGGACACGAGCACACCTCAAACTGGGAGACGGTCAAGAGGCGCGATTTTTCTGGCTGTCACCAACTTAAAGCTCCAGTTTCGGGCTATTGGAGGGTTCAAAAAGTGCCGGACAAATTCTATAGCTTAGTAGCTGTTTGAAGTAACCACTTGATAAGTTTGACGACTTTTGCTAGAAAACTGACCAGATTATCTACAAATTTGCTATCAACTGTATTTTCAATGGTTTTTGACCTTCAACAATTTTGTCTGGAATCGATTTCAAGATGATGAGATGGAGCACCTCGTGCAATTATCAAGATTATATCTTTTGAGATTTCAAGCAATTCTAAAACTGCATAAAACACTAAATATGTACTATAAGCTGCCCATCTGGCAATACGAATCGCGCCTCTTGACATACACCCCTTCAAACTTGGGTAATCAAACTTTATCAGAGAAACAAATAACAACAACAAACATGGATAGAACAAATAACAAATAATGTTACTAAATGATAAACTACAAATAGGAATGATATGATTGGAAGAAGGCACAAATATATGAGTGAAATAATGTTAAAGTAATTGAGCGAGAGTCGTACATGTGAATAACTCTGTCCATGCACTGTTAGCTACTTAAATGCGTACACATCATCAGCCACAGCTGCTTGCGACATCCTACTGATAGCTAAAAAACCATGAGTAATTCACATCTGATGCTAACATCTGCGAATTCTTCTAATAGCAAAAACAATGCAAACTTCTTATTTCATCGATGCTGTGCAACTGGCAATGTATTACTAAACTACATAGATGTAATGAGTTTGTACATTTTGAGGGAGAAAAGAACAACACGAACTACGAAGTTCGTACACTTCTATATAACTACAGCATCTGAGCTCTCCAGCTCTCACCATGCTTGGAATAACCTTGCACAAATAGGCCACTTTTCGCAACGACTTTTCCCCTTCTGCGCATGGTGGTGGAAAGCCAGCAAGACAAATATATATTGTGGACAAAATTGTCTTTGCAATGAAGTTTGTAGCTTCAAAAAAACCAATCCGCTTGAAGTTACAGCGATTTGAAAAAAATTTTCGCAAGTGCCCGGGAACTTTCTTTACGACCTAATAGAACTGAAACCGTGGTCATAGATTGAGTTTGCCCATAACGTGCCAAGTGTGCACTGGTGCGCCCCTAACACCTGTTGGCATGCCTGAAGACTTCGGAATAACAGTTATATCGATTCACAAGTAGAGCTAAGAAATGAAATTGAAAAAAAAAACAAACATCTCGTTTTAAATAAGTAGAGACTGTACTTTGGAGCGAATCGATCATTCAATTATTAGAATAAACCATTCAAATGCGAACGATTCAAAAATCGAATATACGAAAATTTGAGATTTTGAATAATATTCGAGAGTCGAATATTCGAGATTCTTTGTTTCTGAACATTATTCGAAAAGTCGAATATCCGAAAATTTCAACTTTTAAATATTATACAATAGTCGAATATTCTGGTCACCAATTCGATCATTCGATGTTCATCGAATATTCGAATATTCGGATATTCGATGAGCACCGAATATTTAAAAATTCGAAATGCGATGATTATCGAATCATGGCAAATTCAATATCCACAGCACATAAAGGGTCATAAAAGCATCTACACACTGCTTGATCCCTAGTATCTCATTTACGAAAGCTTCTACCAATCTTTGGGTTTGTGCAGGACTAGTTTCAGCTTACATCTACAGCAAGAAATAGCGTTTTATTAAGTGGTATCACGATAGAACTTTCTGCATATAGAGCCACTGCGGTACATGCCGTCTGAAAACTCCAGAAACATTTATTACGTTTTTGAGAAACGTTAGAAACATTTATTACAGTTTACTGGTACGACATGCAAAAAAGGCATAATTGAACTAACTTCATATTCAAAGCCAGTGACTTCAAAAAACCAATGTAAGAATTTTCGTTTCTTTGGTCTCCTTTCATATGCAAAACATGAACCTCATAGTCTTAAAACCCCTTCAGTTACTCTCATGGTAACCCTACATAGAACACTGAATAGCGATCGACAGGTCGCTCCATAGGAGATCTAAGGAAGTTAGCACGTACTTAAAGTTTGGCGAAAGACTTTATGATAGTAATGACTGACTAGTTCGGCATAGTTTTGTGATCCCCTGCATATCATCTCACAACATTCAACAAGATTATATTATATATGAGTGGCCCCGTACGCTAATCTGAATAGTATGTATGGAAGACGCCGCCTTTCTGTCCGCAGGTAGTTGCTTGCCTTCATTACTCATGAAGCCACGGTTTGAAACAATGATCTTCTTCGAATTTGATTTTCTAAGAACACCGTTGTAGGAGTAGGATTTTGGGTTCATAGTGTCACCCACAGACCATTTTCACCATAAATTGTACGTTGAAACTAATCGAAGAATTTTCAAAAATTAAATAACATTCGGAAGTCGAATGATATTCGGTATGCGAGCATTATTCGAGAAATCGAATATTCGAAATTTTCGATTTTCGAGTATTATTCGATAGTCCGAAATTTTCATTTTCGAATATTCTTCGATGATCGAGTATTCTAAATAAAAATTTAAATTTTTCAAAGTATACTAGACACTCGTCAGGTCTTAATATTCTGCAAGAACAGTCACAAAACATCCTCTGAGTTCAACGATCGCAAAAGCTCACTATCGAGCAGATACGTTAGCTGAATTGTTTTTGGCACTCCATGGGCAGGCAGTCTAGTAGGCGACAAGTACGACTTGAGATAGAGAAATAGCAAAACTTTGTACTAGATTTCGAAGTGAGCAAGAGGAATGCAAGGATAGATTATACGCATCATTTAACTAAGATATTATCAAGCTGTTGTGTTGAAATCGTAAAAAAACATGAGACAACCTAATGAATTGTCTCATAAGTCACATCAAAATACGTATCATAGAGACATTTGCTTAAATCATATGGCTCGAGAAGATTCGATAACACTCTCAAGACGAGCTCCAATAGCTGAACAATAGTTAATAGTACAATAGTTGAACTCCGGAAAGGTCACTGAGAACTTTCCACTGTGGCCGTATTCATCAACGAACCCTGAGGGTAAACCCTACCTTCGAGGGTAGGTTTTACCCTCTTCTCGGCCATTCATCAACGAATTTGAAGGATAGGATTTACCCCGGAAAGCGATTAACTTGTATTCACAGACGCGGCTCATCAAGGTAACTTCAACCCTAGCACAGAGCAAGATTAGATTCGCTTTGACACTTAGTACAAACATCAAGTGGTCTCTCAATGCCCCACTTCTAGTGGCATTGTTTTGGCAACAAACTCAGGTTTAGAGTAACTACTATCTCGAACTTCCCATGGTCACTTTTCGTGTTTTCGTTTAATGTTATCATCCGATATTATATTCGGCCAAGTGGCTACATGGAAGGTTCAGACTAAGGGCTTTGATATGGCAAACATCAAAATTAACAACTCGGAAAAATTATCGTAATATGAAGCTTCCTCATTCAGATTTTAGCCCACCGATAAACTCGTTCAGTAAAGTTGATACATGATCAAACTATCTTTGCTCAACTAGATAAACTAAGAGCTGAAGTACTGAAAAAGTACAAAACAAGTACAAAGTACTGAAAAATTTTATACTAGTTTTTCTAATATGATTAGACGAGAGGAAAAGAGGGCTCAGGAGATTTGGCATACTAATAATTGGAAACATGTGTTTGTCATCAAAACAGCATCGGTTAAGACTGGGTGATGCATCAAGATGGTTTATCAGGGTATATTTAAACTTACCATAGAGCAAGGTTAAATCCACCCTGACATGTCGTACAGCCATGAAGTGATTTCGCGATGCACCACCAAGTCTTAACCGATACTGTTTTGATGACAAACATGTTTCTAACTATCAGTACGGGTTTTATGCTTTCTGGAGTGAAACTTGCCTTCACGAATGAGGTTTGCCCTCAGGGTTGTTGATGTATACGGCCGGTGGTTTCGCACATCAGACATCAGCCTTTACAGATTCAAATTCATTTCAGTGGTTGGCAGATTCCCGCATGACCGTTTCGTCCGAACGCTATAATCGCACAAAGACGCTTAAGATCATGCCTGAAGAAGTGCGGGAGCGTGCAGATGAAATGAGCACAGTTTGGGATCTTGGAGTCAGTTGAATACGTGAGAGTCGAACGAGACATGTTTGCCGTTAGTGTCTGTTTCAGGGCTACATGGAATATTCCTTGATTTTTTACGGTTACTATTCAAGAGAAACATTTTTTGGAGAAACCGTGCGTTATCGAGTGCCGGTCGCTTACTTTCTTTCCAATTTATTTGTTTTGGGATACAGTTTCTTTACTATCTTGAGAAAGTAAGTTTAAGTTTTATTAATCGGTATATCCAAACAAAATAGTGGCGATTATTCAAATGCAAGTCTCAGTTTTTTACAAACATTGCACAGGAGATCAAATCTTTGAAAAACAAATTCTATACCACGGACACGATATCATAAGCTCTAGTAGTTTTTGCATGCTCCAACTTCACACTACAAGAAAAAAATCTCTTACTGGCTTTCTGATCACGCTAGACAGACAGGTTTGATTTTCAGACGACTGACCGGCACTTCCGCAGCACTTTTGCAGCGTTTCCGTGGGTCCCTGCGAAAACGCTGAGTGTTGCGGAAGTGCTGAAAAGATGGGATGAGCAGCACACATTGTTTGGGATTCTGCAGCACATTTCAGCTTTTGCTTTTGAAACTTGATTCGTTTTTTCCATATCAAACTTTATTTTGATACTAGCTGGCTTACCCGGCTCCGCTCGGCCCTGTCAAAACACTATGATAAAGTTTTCATCCCTATCCCTGTACAACCTTTCCCTGTGCCCACGTCTACATGCCAAATCACTACCACTTTTTAGTAATCAGCATGCTCCTTACCCCTGGGCCAACTCCCAGCCCCGTGGCTTGAATTTTGCGAAAAAATCGATGAAGTCGATGAAGGTAGGGGAAAATTCTAAACACTAATGTTGTATTCGTAATCAGCATGCTCGATTACCCCTCTGTGCCAACTCCCAGCCCCGTAGGTGAACTCTGCAAAAAATCGATGAAAATCGATGAAGGTAATGGATAATTCTAAAAACTAATATTGTATTCGTAATCAGCATGCTCGATTACCCCTCTGTGCCAACTCCCAGCCCCGTAGGTAGGTGAACTTTGCAAAAATCGATAAAAATCGATAAAGGTAACGGATAATTCCAAAAACTAATATTTTATTCGTAATCAGCATGCTTGATTACCCCCCTCTTCAGTCGTCATAATTTTTGGATAGACTTTTATTTATTGAAATTACCGAATTTCCCGAATTTCAGCAGGTCCGTCTCAAACACATTACGCCAAAGACTAATAATAATAAGTCTTCGGAATTTCATGCGTTCAAATAGAGACTACGGTAATATTTTGATTTCGAATGCTGAATGAGCCTCTACCGCTTTTAAACATTTAATTTTCGAGTTTTTCGGATACAGCGTGAGACGCGTTCAGAAACAAAAGGTCTATTTTTCCTCGACCGTTTCACGATCGCAAACAAAAATCTGTAAGAAAGACGAAAAGAAGCTGTTTGAATGACACCCCCGAGTCGCTCATTGGTTAATGTTTTAGTAGAGTTGAAATGACCAAGGATGGAGTCAACCATCAAAAAAATTTCAAAAATTTCTTATCTAATTATGAAAGGGAAAAATTATTATGTCCTATGTTCTTAGCGTTATTTATTTGTTTCTTAGACTTCTTCAAAGGGTCGGAACAAAATCAGAATTAGTAAACCTTGACCATGGCAAAAACCATGGTTCGCAGTTTCTGGCCATTTTCTGAGAGGTCGTTGATGTTTACCACCTATTAAAAGGAAATAAAAAGCTGCATTTGACACGCCCAATGTCTTCCAAGGAGGTTTGTTTTGCCGTATGTTACGCTTGTGAAAAAACGAATTACCTTTAAAACAACCTAATTAGGTTGGTCCGAAAGTTCGTACCGTTTTCCAGACCTACGCTCAAACCAGTTAAAATAAAGATAGACAACCGCTCTGAACAGTATCCGATGCGGAATTTTTTCCTCCTTTTAACGTTTACGTTTTCCTAATCCTTCGATAGGCTCTAGAATAATCGCTGAATGAATGACACCTACCCATGGTTTCTACCCGTCTTGAGTTTGGCTACTTTTCAAAATTTCCACTATCAACTTTCGGACTAGCTTTGATAACAGTTGGATAAAATAAACAAAATGCAACACAACTAATTATTCTGGACTCTTCAACTAGCTTTTTCATATTTCTCAAATGTTTTTTCCAAAACCACTCTTGTGAAGTAATTGTAAAGTTTGTAAAATACACAACCGCTTCAAACACTGATAAAACTTCGGAATTCAAAGCTTTCAAAAACATCTTTTGACTTAAAGCTGATTTTAGCAAGCAAATGAGCGTTTAACAACTCGAAATATTGGATGCCGAATTTCCTGGGCAGATCCTGGGACGAGTTTTGGATATAACAATTATAATGATTCTATCCTCACAAAATTACGCAAATCAGGATGGAAGACATATATGAGTATTATACGGAAGTATGTAGAACTTTATTTTCGAATGACACCCTGGTTGCTCGCCGTTTACTGTTCTGTGAGGATTGGGATGTCCAATTCTGGAATGGTAGCATCGGAAAAACATTTTCAAAAATTTTGAGAAGCAAGCTAGAGTAGCCGGAAAATGTCCTATATACATTTTGTTTATTCTTTCCGAATGTTATCAAAGATAGTCCAAAAGTTGAAAACGTAACTTATGTATAAAGCTGAATGTCTGTTTGTCTGTATGTCTGTGTGTATGTCTGTCTGCATGTCCGTCTGTCTGTACGTATGTTCGGATAGAAAATTCCCTTCTGAACCGATCCGGACCAAACTTGGCACACATTCACTTCGGGGCCGGGCGGGTGTCATAGGCTACTTTTCGTTATCAATCGACATCGATTTTATCGATTTTTTGCAAAGTTTGAGTTACAGGGCTGGGAGTTGGCACAGGGGGGAGGGTAAGTGAGCATGGCGATTTCGAATACAATATTAGTTCTCAGGATTATTGATTACTTTTATCGATTTTATCGGTTTTTTGCAAAGTTTGAACTTCAGGGCTGGGATTTGGCACAGGGGGTAATCGAGCATGATGATTACAAATAGAACATTAGTTTTTGGAATTATCCAATACTTTTATCGAGTTTATCGATTTTTTTCAAAAATGGAGCTGAAGGGCTGGTAGTTGGCACAGGAGGGGTAAGCGGGCATGCTGATTTCGAAAACAACAGAGGGAACGGGAAATGAAGTGTAGAGGTGGGCACAGGGAAAGGCTATACAAGGATAGGGATGGGACCTTTATTACAGTGTTGACAGGGCCGAGCGGAGCCGGGTAAGCAAGCTAGTACACTATACTATACACGTATACATATAGTCGCCCACCGTCGACTTTCACTCCCATGTCGTCCCATTTCAGCTTACGCATGACTTTCTCTAGAGAATGGTTTTGGCGATATAGTATCGTCTTATCGTACTCCCCTTTTTAAGTCTATGGTGATGTCCTTGTGGAATGATTTGATACTAGTTGTGAAGTCGTTATACAGCTCACGAATTATCGTGGTATACTGAGTAGAAATACCTTGATTGCTTAAAATACCTGCTTCAATCTCAACCGAGTCAAAAACTTTCTTCAATTCGAAGTTGAGACAAAGCGACATCTTACTCTCGTGACACTTCAATGAGCCTTGACACCTTGGCCCGTAGTAAACCCCTCCTGGTTGTCACAACATAGAGGGACTATGTCGTGATAGCTCGAAGTATCTCGCAAGACTATAGCGAGCTATCCGCAGGGGCCGCAAAACGAGCGTCCCGCACGTCACCGAACCGCTGATGACCCGCGATAACAGCGCTCACGCGCGCTGCGCTATACGTACGAACACTGCCGAATTCTACTAAAACGAAGGATAATGTGCACATAGCAAATGGGAAATTGTAGCAAAACCAGTATGAACGAATATGCAGTTATTTTCGCAGTGCCTGGTTCCTTAGTACTGAACGTGCAAATGCTTTGAAACAAGTCTATCCAAGGCGCTTTGTAGACAGTGCGCAGGTGGCGCAGCGCCAGTGTCACGAGGGAGTGTGCTAAAGGTGCTGGGTTCGAATTCCGCGCCATGCTGCCTTTTGCAGTTTGCCAGGTAGTCGTATTTTCTTGCAAAGACACAAATCAGCAAATTTCTTGTTGGTAAAGAAAGCTGGCAGCCAAGACACACTATACTGGCATGCATAGGAAATATCAGGACATTATCAAACATTCACTACCATGGTCTTTTCAAAAAAAGGCTGTTCTCTTAGCCGTAAGCCAGACGACCCTTTCTCTCAAAAACGAAAGGGAACGAGAGGTACACGGCTAGCGAATAGCAGTTCAGAAAATTATGTGATGTAAACTACTGAGATTGAAAGAAAAATTGACTATTTGACAAATTTTGGCATGAAGAAGAGATTTGGTGCACAAATGAAATGCATCGTGTGAATAAAGAAGAAATTTAGCGTAAGCACGATAAAATATGACCATAAACGAATCTAATAAACTTTTCAATCGAAATAAACTCACCTTTTCTGAATGCCAAAGCGTGAAGCAGCAGGAATACCTAAGAAGTGGGGAGAGGCACGTTGGTCGAACGGTTAGGCGCTTGTCAGCTGTTGATATTGATTGCAGTCGACGTGCGTTATAGAGAACTGTGTGCATGTGCGACCTATTGCGAGGTTGGCGTAGTCGAGCTCTAGTCTTGCGCTATGTCTCTGCGTCTCCATGATGGACAAAGTATTTCGCCGTCTCGTCCGTCACGACATGTCGCAATATGTCGCTATATGTCGCGATATGTCGCGATATATAGCGACAAAGTGGGACTACCCTGGCGCTTCGCATTGATTGCGTTCGCCGGCAATGATAAAGGATAGCCGCCTTGCCTGCCTCGCTCCATGGTAGTCAGCACATGTCACGGCAGGCTCCGAGCTATACGTCAGCACGTACGGGGGGTTTACTACAGGCCCTTGTGTATGTGGTCTACCTGCTGAATCCTCTTCGAAACCCACCTTGCTCGCACGGTTTTCCTTCGTCTAACTCTCTTTCGATCCTGTTGAGAATGACTCGCGTAAAGACTTTGTAGATAGACTGCAGACAACAGGCAGATAGGGCGATGATTGCCGATGTAGAAGGGATCTGCCTTCCTGTAAAGCAACATGGCCTTGCTGGTCGTCTTCCATTATCTTAGACCTTGCCTTCCGTCAGGCACCGCGTAAAGAGCCTTGTCAAGGTCTTGATGAGAGCT